GGGAGTGGGTCGCGTTCTCGATCTTAGAACAGGGCACGAGGGATGACCCCACCAAGAAGTGGCACGCAGAGTTCTTCGAGTTCAAGGCTTGAGAGGTTTGCAGGCAGATGAAACCGCTTCAGTAACGCAGCAAGTCATATTCTTTCAAACCAATTTAATGTTTACCTGGGCTTCCCGCTTGTGCATCTTTGTGATAGAGCCGACTTAGCTACAGCATTGTTGTGAAAGTTTAAAATTGCAGAAAACAGGCCTTTGCAGAAATGTGGGTGTCAAGGGCTGATTCTGGGCTGAGTGCAACGTAAGCGGTGACCCCTTCCCGGCCGAGGGCTGACTCTGGGTTCAAGGAATAAGTCCAGCTTGCATATAATGGTCAGTCTGCAATCATTACCGGCTTTCTGGACCGTTTGAGATCATGTCGGTGGCATGAGAGATCCGGTCGATGCTTCCAGCCTGGACCCGATTCCGTTGCAAATACGTTGGTTAAGTGTAGAATGCTGGTGCGGGTTTGAAAGCCTTCGTAGAAGCTCCCAGCTGCTGGTGCTGCTTCAGTCTGACATTAGGGTTGGCTAATGCTGCACTGAAAAATACGCTTGCGCCATCTCCATTCGCACAAGAATCGCCTTCGAGTTGGCGGTGGGGTTTGCCCACAGAACTCGCAAGTTTGTTCGGCCTCACACTCGTGTGTAGCGGGAGGAGTCTAGAGGGGACCAGGCCCAGGCCCGGCCCCGGAAGTCCTGCTTTCGGTTTCAGGGTTTAGGGTTTCCGGTTTAGGGCTTAGGCAGCTGCTTCGCTTTCGGGCATATAGGTATAAGCAGCGGTTGAGCGACGCTGCCACACGCGCGCAGGTGCCGTCTATGCCGAGAACATGATGATCGTCTCCGGTGGCAGCGTGAACATCAGGGAGTCTACGGCTCAAGATGAGGATGGGTATTTTGGCAGTGGAGGCAGCGGGGAGTGGGTCGCTTTCTTGGTCCTATAGAACAGGAGGACGAGGGATGCCCCCCCAAGAAGTGGCAAGCAGAGCGTCATGGGCTATGCAGTTTTGGGGCGGAGGGTTCGTCGGATGCAAGGCTTGAGAGGTTTGCAGGCAGATGCAGCCCCTGCTGTAACGCAGCACGTCATTTATTTAAAACCAAGGTTTGCCTGGTCTTCCCCCGCAAGTGCATCCTTTTGCCCGAGCCGACTTAGCTACAGCATTGTGATTGATAAGGCTTAAAATGGCAGAAAGAAGGCCTTGGCAGAAATGGTGGTGTCGAGGGCTGATTCTGGGCTGACTGCAAAGTACAATGTGAGGTTCAAGGACTAAGGCCAGCTTCCATATCAAGGTCGTCAGCTTGCGTATCTTCACCGGCCTTCTCGATTGCAGAGCCAACAGCATGAGATCATGTCGGTAGCAGAAGAGACCTGGTCGATGCTTCAAGCCTGGACCCAATTCCCTTGCAACTACCTTGGTTACGTGTTGGAACGCTGGTGCGGGGTTAAAGCTATCAATCAGTACGTTCGCAAGTTCTGGTCGTGAAAGCTGTTGTAGAAGTTCCTAGCTTGTGCTTCTTCAGTCTGACATTTGTGTTCGCTAATGCTGCTCTGAAAGAATTCGTCCGACGTGTACTTCCAGGAAACCTGCGGTTCTGCCGAGTCGGCGGGCGTTGATCTCCACAGAGCTGTAGCAGTGAGTTTTCGTATTGCCTGGCTGCAGAATTAATACTCAGTTGCTCACACATATGTTTGCGCCATCGCCATTCGCACAACAATCGCCTTAGAGTTGGCGGTGGGGTTTGCCCGCAGCACATAACTCGCAAGTTTGTTCGGTCTCACACTCGCGTGTAGCGGGAGGAGTATAGGGTTTCCGGTTTAGGGCTTATAGGCAGCTGCTTCGGGTTCGGGAACAGGCATAAGCAGCGGTTGAGCGACGCTGCCACACGCGCGCAGGTGCTGTCTATGCCGAGAACATGAACATCTCCGGTGGCAATATCACCATCACGGAGTCGAAGGCACTGGTGGATGGAGGCAGGGGGTGAGTGGGTCGCTTTAATGCACAGGAGGATGCGGGATCCCCCAAGAAGTGGCACGCAGAGCGTCATGGGCTATGCAGTTTTGGGGCGGAGGCTTCTTCGGGTGCAAGGCTTGAGAGGTTTGCAGATAGATGCAGCTGATTCTGGTTTGAGTGCATAGTACGCTGTGAGGTTTTAGGAAGAAGGTTAGCTTGCATATCAAGGTCAGTTTGCATGACATTACCGGCTTTCTGGCCTGCAGAGCCGACAGTTTGAGATCATGTCGGTAGTTTGAGAGACTTGGTCGATGCTTCAAGCCTGGACCCGATTCCCTTGCAACTACCTTGGTTAGTTTGGAATGCTTGTGCGTGCGGGTTAATCTATCAACCAGTAAGCACACAAGTTCTGGTCGTGCAAGCTTTCGTAGAAGCTCCCAGCTGCTGGTGCTCCTTTAGTCTGACATTTGTTGTTCGTTGCTGCTGCTCTGCAAGAATTCATCCGATGTGTACTTCCAGGAAACTTGCGGTTCCGCCGAGTCGGCGGGCGCTGATCACAACAAAGCTTTCAAAGTGATCTCTAATATTGCATGGCTGCAACATTACTATACTCAGTTGCTCATATCTCAAATGCCTCCGCCATCTCCATTCGCACATGCAGGAATCGCCTTAAAGTTGACGGTGGGATTTGCCCACACAACTCGCAAGTTTGTTCGGGCTCACACTCGCGTGTAGCGGCGTAGCAGGAGGATTATAGAGGGGACCAGGCCCGGGCCCGGCCCCGGAAGTCCCGCTTTCGGTTTTTGGTTTTAGGATTTCTGGTTTAGGGCTTGGGCAGCTGCTTCCGCACGCGCGCAGGATGGCACCTTCTTGGGGAGGGAGGCAGCGGGGAGTGAATGGCTTTCTTGGTCCTGGAACAGGGGACGAGGGATCCCCCCAAGAAGTGGCACGCAGAGCGTCATGGGCTCTGCAGTTTTGGGGCGGAGGGTTTTTCGAGGTTCAAGGCTTGAGAGGTTTGCGGGCAGATGCAACTGATTCTGGGCTGAGTGCAAAGTACAGAGTGAGGTTCGAGCAAGGAGGTTAGCTTGCATATCAAGGTCAGTTTGCATAACATTACCGGCTTTCTCGCCTGCAGAGCCGACAGTATGAGATCATGTCGGCAGCATCCGGTCGATGTTTCAAGCTTGGACCCGATTCCCTGCAAATTCGCTTGTGAACTGTAGAATGCTGGTGCAGGGTTAACGCTATCAATCAGTACGCTCACAAGTTCTTGTCGCGCAAGCTTTTGTAGAAGCTCCCAGCAGCTGGTGCTTCTTCAGTCTGACCCTTGTGTCTGTGAATGCTGCTCTGAAAGAATTCATCCGATGTGTACTTCCAGGAAACTTGCGGTTCCGCCGAGTTGTCGGGTGTTGATCTCCACAGAGCTTTAAGCGTGAGTTCTCATATTCCATGGCTGCAGCACTAATTCTCAGTTGCTCATATCTCACATGTTTGTTTGCGCCGTCTCCATTCGCACAAGAATCGCCTTAGAGTTGGCGGTGGGGTTTGCCGACACAACTCCGCAAGTTTGTTCGGTCTCACACTCGTGTGTAGTGGGAGGAGTATAGAGGGGAGCAGGCCCAGGCCCGGTCCCAGGAAGTCCCGCTTTCGGTTTCAGGGTTTAGGGTTTCCGGTTCAGGGCTTAGGCAGCTGCTTCGGATTCGGGCATAGGTATAAGCAGCGGTTGAGCGACGCTGCCACTCGCGCGCAGGTGCCGTCTTTGCAAGGAACGACATGAACGTCTCCGGTGGCAATGTCACCATCACGAAGTCTAAGGCTTCTAGGCATGGAGGCAGCGGGGGAGTGGGTCGCTTTAATGGTCCTGGAACAGGGGACGAGGGATCCACCCCGAGCAGTGGCACGCAGAGCGTCATGGGCTCTGCAGTTTTGCGGCGGAGGGTTCTTCGAGTTCAAGGCTTGAGAGGTTTGCAGGCAGATGCAACCGCTGCAGTAACGCAGCAAGTCATATTTTAAATCTAGTTGAACGTTTACCTGGGCTTCCCGCTAGTGCATCTTTTCGCCCGAGCCGACTTAGCTACAGCATTGTTGATAACAGGTTAAAACGGCAACCGCAGAAAACATTCAGGCCTTGGCAGAAATGTTGGTGCTGTGACTCCTCGCTGGCCGAGGGCTGATTCTGGGTTCAGGGCAGAAGGTTTGCTTGCATATCAAGGTCAGTTTTCATATCACTACCGGCTTTCTGGCCTGCAGAGCCGACAGTTTGAGATCATGTCGGTAGCATGAGAGATGTCCGATCGATGCTTCAAGCCTGGACCCGACTCCCTTGCAACTACCTTGGTCAGGTTTAGAATTCTGGGCGGGGTATCAGCCAGTACGCTCGCAAATTCTGTTCGTGAAAGCTCTTGTAGAAGCTCCCAGCAGCTCGTGCTTCTTCAGCCTTAGATTAATGTTCGCTACTGCTGCTCTGAAACAAGTCATCCGATGTGTACTTCCAGGAAACTTGCGGTTCCGCCGAGTTGGCGGGCGTTACGGACAGAGCTTGAATAGTGAGTTTTCGTACTGCATGGCTGCAGCATTAATACTCAGTTGCTCATATCTCATATGCTTGTGAGATCTCCATTCCCACAGGAATCGCCTTAGAGTTGGCGGTGGGGTTTGCCCACATAACTCGCAAGTTTGTTCGGTCTCACACTCGCGTGTAGCGGGAGGACCAGGCCCAGGCCCGGCCCCGGAAGGCCCGCTTTCGGTTTCAGGGTTTAGGGTTTCCGGTTTAGGGCTTAGGCAGCTGCTTCGGGTTCGGGCATATCGGTATATGCAGCAGTTGAGCGACGCTGCCACACGCGCGCAGGTGCCATCCATGCATCGAACATGCACGTCTCCGGTGGCAATGTCACCATCACGGAGTCTGAGGCTTCGTATGGAGGCAGCGAGGGAGTGGGTCGCTTTCTTGGTCCTAGAACAGGGGACGAGGGATCCCCCCCAAGAAGTGGCACGCAGAGCGTCATGGGCTATGCATTTTTGGGGCGGAGGGTTCTTCGCGTTCAAGCTTGCGAGAGGTTTGCAGGCAGATGCAGCCCGTGCTGTAGTGCAACACGTCATAAGCAATGTTTAGGTGTTCAGTCTTCAAGGCGGAAACACGTTGGATGCATGATGCATCAGTGCGTCGCTCCGCTGCTCATGGGCAGTCTTGCCCAACCGCAGGAAACGAGTATGCCCTCTGTTCCCCGCTGCCACCGCTTTGCCCTTTCGGTGCGAGCAATGCTCTCCTGCTTTTAGGCTCCGCAAGCACCTCGCCGTGCATGCGGCCCCGGCTCATGGACTTACAAGCACCGTCCGACAGTTCTCTTATTGGCCATACTGCTTAGCGTGTCATCGTTGGTATCACACCCTTGACAGGGTGCAGTACCACTGAAACGATCCCATGCTTGCTTGACCCGTGTCGCCATGGTTGTGCCACCCATGTCAATCGAACAGGTCAAAGCCGGTGAGGCAGGTGAGAAACGTAGCCAAAAGCAGATTCGTAATGGTTCATGGGGGGCCTAGCGGGCCGCTCCCCCTCCTCTTCAAGCTTTCTACCCCAGGCTTCCCCTTTACAGTGAGGTTTTCCAGGACCCAGAGGATGAGGATGTCCCGTTGAGTCGACTCCGCTCCCAGTTCCGACCGGACTCCGCTACCACTCGTTGGGTTCGTAACTGGATCAGTGAAGCCTCTACTGAGGGACCGAGGTCAGAAGTCGCCGACTTTTGGCTTGCAAGGCCCATGCCTGATGCGAAAGCTTGACGGGGATTTCGTTTTCAGTTTCACGGTTTCGCCTTGAATTTCTGGGACGCGCCATTCTTGGCAGTACAGTCCGAAGCAGAAGCAGAAGAAGCAGATGTTGGCACCAGCCGCATCTTGAACAGAGTGTTCAAGCACCAGCAGCTCATTGCCTCGAGCAATGCCGCCCTCTTCCAAGTGCTTGTCCGTTGAAAATGCCTGGGAGCTCTCTTGCACAGTTTCGCACATGAAATTCATCATTCAGATTCGTAGCCAGCGGCCAGCAGCCACGTCCACAGGTTGACTGTTGGCTCTGGAAGCCTGAAGCCTGAAGAAACTTTACAGCGGAGGGTTCTTCGAATTAAACTTGAAACAAGCTGAGACCTTTCGGGGCAACACGTAGCCCAGTAGTCGGAGCCACTTCTGCCATTTGCAAGCACTTGCTGCAAAGAGCCCTGTCGGGAGCTCCCCAGAAACGACCCGGCCAGAAATTAAGGAAACCTGCAGGATTGCTTCTATAAGCCGCAGACCTGCAACAGTTCGACCCCCAACTCGAGAAACGAGCCTTCTTGTCTGTTGGGTACTGCGCGGTTGCTTGTTGCAAGAGCTCTGTCGCAGCCTGATCCTGCGCCGCGAGCCGATTGAAGTTCATCGATTGAACTTTTTAGACTCGTGTCGTGGCTAGCGGCTGAATGAAACGAAGACAAAGTGGTCAAGCTGCTACTGCAAACCTGTCGAGCTTGCGGTGAATGACTGTCGATAAGGTGCAATTTCCTCGGCCCACTCGGCAAATCCACACCTCTCCCTGCCCTGGAGGCTGCATTTACACACGGTACGATTTCACGCAGTCCGGCGGCGCGGTGAGCTTTGAAGGCTGCAAAGCCCTTCATGAAGGAGGCACCGGCCCGGGGTTTCTAGAAGTCATTAGAAGGCCTCAGGCTTTGCGGATGCTTTGAGCAGCTGGCATGCTGCCGATTCGTTTAGTGGGAGCGTTTCCACGGCAAGGTGGCATTTTGTCGCGTGCCAACATTCCGGATCTGCGCTAGAAGGCCGAGGCCAAGAAGGCGGAGGAAGCGTCGGCTACCAGGCGCCTGAGCTGTTGCGGGGTCAGTTCTTGAGAGCAAAGCCATCTGAAGCAGCAGAAAACTTCGTTCTGATCAAAACCTCGAAACGATGGTTGCAGCCGACCCGCAGCCGGGTTTTGCAACGAGACCGAAATTGGGGAAGGCTGAGGTGCAGTCTTTGTGTGTGTGTGCGCCCTTAT